GGACCCGGTGGCTTAAAACTCACGCCGGGCGCGTGTGCGTGCGTGCCCAAGATCCCGAGAGGAGAATGGAGGAGAAGGGATTGCGGCGTGACCATCCCCCCTGGGGGGTGATTTCTCGCTTTCTGTCTCTATGTCTCTCTCTGTCTGTCTGGCGAGCGCACGCGCCCTACAGTGAAAATCTCTCCAAAAGTCTCTCCAAAAAAAAAAAGAAATAAGAGAACAAAAGGCAACTAAGAGAATGACCAATTTAATGCTAGGGACAAGAAATATCAATAATAATGTTGCATGTTAACTTCTAGGATTTAAACAGAAAGATTGGACCACAATAACAAAGAGAGTTTGAACCTAAGACTGAAATCATGAAATAGAATTTTACGACTTTTGAGTAAAACATTACTGATTTTTTTTACTATGCTTCGTTTTCACAATTTAAACATTTTACTTTCGTTTGACTTGTTGATAGGTTCAGCAATTTGTTAAAATATTTTTCTTGTTTGTTTCTTTAAATGGAAACAAATTTTTCTTCCCTCCTGACCCCTCTTGAATTGGAAATATTTGGGAGTATTCAAAAATTTGCATAAGTTCAATAATGCTTGTTGCATTGAATCATAAACTGGAAATACTCATTATTAGACAGGTAATGTCATACCTGAAGATTAATCAGAAAACGATGGAACTCAGGTGGATCTCAAGTAAGCCAACAGAAGCTCTTAGAAAGATGGCCTGGCACCATAAATAGTTCTGTCTGACAGAGAGGATCAGAGAAGATACATGAAAGAATTTATAACATAAAATAACCTGGACTTTTTCAGCCCAGCATTGTAATCAGTAGAGATTGCAAAAGAGCAACCACACCAGAGGATTACCTTGAGAAAGATTTTGAAGGAAGAAAAGGAGACTGATCTTTGCTAGCAGGTGGTAGATCACACAATACTCGGTAGGCAGGGCTGAATTGAGAAAGTTTATGTGTGCCTACTGTGCTGGGCATTTGCTTTTCAACAGTTTGAGTAGTTGACATGTAAATATTTTCTCAAAAATATTTAAAACCACACTGTCTCTGTTGTTATAGAATCACAAACAAAATTATAAGAAATATTTTGAACATTTTTTTAATTTAAATTTTAAAATTCAGTATTGTGAAATTTTAAAAGTTGTTTATTAACTGTCAAGAACTATGAAGTATGAGCAAAAATTTTTTGATATGTAAAGTAAATGTTTGTGGAAAAATGTAAAAATAAATAAATAAGTGGGGGGAAAAAAAAGAACCAGTTCTGGTAGAATCTAGATTCTAAAATGGCTGGTGCTTCCCAGTCACTGTAGGGAGAACTGAAGACAGTGACACTGGGCACTACTCCATAAGCTTCCAATATTCCAATAGGCAACACAGCTGAGAAATGAGAACAGAAAGGAAGTGCTACAAATTATACATGTCCTCCCATAAATATGTCAAACACTTAATCCCCACTACAACAGGATTAGAGGAGAGATTTTTTAAGAGGTGATCAGGCCAGGGGGCTCTGCCCTCACAAGTGGATTAACGTTGTTATCTTGGAAGTGGGCTCCCTATAAAAGAGAGTCTGGACCCTTCTTACTCTTCCTCTCACCCTCTGTTGCCTTTCCACTGCTGGCATAGGACAATGTAACAACAAGGCACTCACCAGAGGCTGTTCCTCTGACCTTGGACCTCCTGGACTCCAGAACTGTGAGAAATAAATTTATCTTCATTTAAAATTGCCCAGTCTGTGGTACTGTCACAGCAGAACAAAATGAACCAAGACAAGAATGAATAGGTTTCTTCTGTGACACATGGCCGTGAGTCACCTGGCTCAATAAATCTCCATGACCAAGGACCTGAATGAGAAAGGCTGTGACTTGCTGTTTGCATCAGCGTCTTATCAAGTAACACAATGTTTTTAACATTTCATTTTTTAAAATTATTTTAAAATATTATTATAATTTTATTTGCTATAGGGACATGTGCTTACCAGAGAGAGAGAGTGAGAAAGTGAGAAAGCAAGCTGCCAGGTATAGGACTGGAAACACAGTCAGCCATGTGGGAGTCTAGCACCCCAACCGCCATGCCATCTACTGGCCCCAACAGTTCATTTTTAAAAAATATGCTAGTAACTTTGTCCTAAGAACAGACTTTTTAAAAAAATATTATTTTTATTAAACATTATTTATTTTTTATTTATTCATTCACTTCTTTTAACTTAACCAGACAGAGACACACACACACAGAAAGTGAGAAAACAAGCAACTAGGTCCAGGACTTGAACCAAACCGCCCAGTTGACCATGTGGGATCCAACACCTCAACCTCCGCACCACCTTCTGCCCCAATAAAATCACTTTTCAGATAAGGAAAAATCCCAGCTCTGACTCATCACAGTTCAGATGGGACAAAGCACCCCTCTTGGGGAGTTCTTTATTTTTCTCTAACCAACTGAGTTTTATGTGTTGCATAATAAGCCACCTAACATCTTTCAGGTATCACAAAATGAATTAGAGCCCAATAAAAATTAGCTTTGGGGAGGGAACGTAATTCTACTCAATTAAGGAAAACATTTTTATAGACCACAGATTAGTTTATTTTTAACACCCATCATGCCATGAATTCATAGGGAATAGGTTCCAGAAGCTCAGGCTCCTTTCCATTGGTTCTCACAAAGTGTGCTTATCTGGGTGGGGCAGGCTGGTGCTTTAGTTGAACCCAGGTACCTTTCTCTTTGGCTTCCTTCTTTTTCTGGTCATTTTCCTTCACATGGTTTAGGAAGCTATCTCTGCTCTTAGAATGCTTACTATGCTCAATATGCACATTCATTCTCTTGGCTAGAATCTTGCTCTTAACTTGTTTGTTCACAACAATGCCTATAGCATGCTGGGTAACACTGTAGACTCTTCCAGGTTTGCCATGGTAACATTTGTAGGGCATTCCTTTTTGAACAGTACCTATTCCCTTGATGTCTACAATATCACCTTTCTTG